TAAGATTGTAGAAAAATTGTGAGGAAAAGGCTTCATTCAGCAGTTGGAGTTTTAGCTTCTTAGGCTATTTCTTAACTGAAAAACAATGTGCTGAATCAGCTGCCATATTATGGTTTTATGGTGGGGGTCTAGTTTTATTCCAATGACAAGTAATTGCATTGTAATAAGAGAATGCAACTGAAGTTGCGAAACTCAAGTAGGGAAATCAAGGTGGTTTCTAGGATGGCCTGAACAAGCTTATATAGAACAAAGGACATCAGACTCTTTTGAAAGAGCATTTGTTTCTATATAGTAGTGAGTAAAGCATTTAATTGTGGTATTGTGAGATCTCTGCTGAGGTAGACAAGTTATGAATGCATCTCTGCTGCACAGCTCTTGGAATCTTGGTTTGGGATGAAGTATGAGATGAACTGGACAGAGAAGACTAAGTAGACAAAACAATATTTATCAGCCTGATTGGCAGCACTTTTCAGCATATTGACAGCTATCTTGTGTCTAATGTGTTTTGTGGTCAGAACAGCAAAGGAGGGTTTTCAAGGAAAATAATGAGGTTGCTTTTCAGCATGAAGATTGTCAACATTTCAGCTTCCTTAGCAAGAGATCAGGTCTAGAAAGATAAAACTGTGTCATCTCTATGGACGATGCCTATTGAAATTTTTGTAGGTAACATTATTCAGATGTAGAAAGAGATGAGGCAATAAGTGAGGATAAAAATCTTGTGGATTTAGCACTCTTTTCTACCTCCTTGAGAAACTGCAGGGATGATTGTGTCCTTTAGATTGACACAGGAAGAGGAGAATTGGGATGGGAACGGAGATAGAGGAGGCAACATACTAAGATGAACACTTACTTACAACTATTTGGCAAGCAACTGTTGGGCAGAGATTTGGGTAGTGTACTGATTCTGAGGCCCTCCTAGGAGGAGGTTATCTGTAAGCTGAGAAATGAGTGAGATGACAGAGTAGTTTTGAAGACAGGTTGTCATGTTTGATGTAGCTTCTCTGACACAGAAAAGACCTGAACTGTGAAGAGATATGCTAGAGGTTGGGAGGAAGTTAGAGAGATGAGAATTGATGAAAGTTGGACTAAAGCCATTGGTTTGGTAGAAGAGAGTAACAGGTAACATCCGTGTCTAGGTTGAGGAGGAGAGAAATGTAGGCTTTGGAGCTTGGTATTCTTTGTGTAAACAATACTCATGCTCATGAGTATTGGGTTGATCCTGTTGTGTGACATTGTGGCTGTGTATTAAAAGTTTTGAATGCGTGAATTGAGAGATTATCAAATAAATGCTACAATGCTTATGATCTCATTTTAAGGTACATGGGTTTTAACAAGATGGGATTTTACAGTTGTTCCTGTTTAGGAATCCATTTAAAATAAGAAATCAAAGGATTTATCAGTTCTCCTGTGTCCTAATCTTTGGCTAAGAATATTTTTTCATAAAGCTGATTTACTGCAGTGGGTGTACTGCGTATTTCATGTGTATGCTTCACTCATATTCTTCACTCAGCAGCAGATTTCCAGGCTGTATCAATGCTTCTTTGTATTTTATCACAATGAAATAGCTCTGTTTCTTATTCCACCCCTACTACAAATAGGGACAGCTATGACCGTGACTTGAAAATCTAATTAATACTGCAATATATTAATAATGTTCAATATTTTGAGTCTTCCTGTGTACGTTTCAGGACATCTGTTTCACAGCACAGTGTTTCAGTTCCTTTGGTGTTACTCAGACAACATGTTAAAAATAAATCCTTACTTAACGAAGTTTGCTTGAGGAGTAGTATGACAATAGTTGGCTACAGCACCTTGCTTTCTCATTAGTGAGATACGTTCCCCTGGGCTGTCTAGCAGATGATTTTATGAGTGGCACCTAGCTTTGGAGAAGACAGTACTGGTGCACTCTAAGCTGAGAGAAGAAAGTGGTGTGCTCAAGGTATGGCAAATTTTGGCCTGGTCTTGCAAAGGGGACTGTGAGTTTATATAGTGGTTGAGGTCTGAATTTATGGAGAATTGTCTGAGATGTATGGGATGACTCGCACCTCCAAGGCTTTGTCTGCAAAGTGCAGCCAGATAATCTTGAATACATGAAACAAGTTTTCTGGGCCAGTGTTATCTTTACAGCAATAAAAAATCAAAACTTGGAAAGCATGTAAAACCACATGATGTTAAGCCATTCTATTTATCTATTTCATAACAAGATAATAGGTCTTAAGACAAATGATAGAGAAGCAGTATGCATCATATTCTGTCTTCAGTAAAACCAGGGTCTCTTGGCATTCTCATAAAGTTTAGAAAACTTGGCTTTTGTTTTGAAATTACTGTGACGTGTTATGGTCAAACTGTATTTAGAATACTGATATTAATAATTCTCTGTTGATCTGGTGTCATTTAATTTAACTTACTTAATTTACTTATTATATACTCCTTAAATTTAACTGCAGAGGGGGGAAAACGTGTTTTCCGTCACCCCTGTGGCTAGGAGGAGAACTAATGGGCTTAAACAGTGGCAAGGAAAGCTTTGACTAGACTTTAAGAAACTTCTTGCAACAGGAATCTTGGATTTCTGGGGTGGATGGTTCAGGGAAGTGGTGGAATTTCCATCATGAAAGGCTTTTCAGAACAGGTTGAACAAGCATCTATGCAGAATAATGTAGGTATAGTTGATCCTGCCTGAGGCCAAGAGACTGCATTAGATGACCTCTTAAGGTTTCTTCTGAGCCTATTGTTTTATGTTCATGTATGACTCTTGCCTCTTAAATGAGGTCAAATTCCACTACTAGATTCCACATCAGATATTTATTCTGTAAAAGATTCCACAGCCACTGAATGTTGAGACTATGTCTGAATCTTGTCTTCTATGGGGAAAATAACATTGTAAGCTGTGTACAGCAGGTGGTTACAGGCACTTTCATTATTATCTGTGGCTGCATCCTATAGCTTCCTACTAGCTTGTACTATAGCTTTTACTGTAGTTTCCTTTAATGCTGCTGTTGGAGAAAACCGGGGTGAATTCTAATGTATTTACAGCCTTGGATGACTGCTTCTTGTGTTGAAGTGTAGTTATTTGAAAACTTCGGGATACAGTGTACAAACTTGGCAGGCTGAGGGAGCATAGAAACGTGGACTAAAATAGCCTGGAGAATTGACGAGGAGACTGAGAGCTTGAAGCCTGGGCTTTCTTGGAAGTTGTCCTGTGCCTACTTCTAAAGTAGATAGACTGCTCTCGCTCAGTATCTAGCTGTTATTAATGCAAATCTCCAGTTCGGTGCATGTATATGTCCCACAGATAAAAGTGTTATGAATGTTTTTAAGAATTGCCTATGCAAATTGAAGCACAACTGTGTTTAAGTGGAGAGTGCTTATTTAATGAAGAGCTTTTAAATAATTAGGTTTAATCTTTGTGGTTCAGTATGTGATGCAACATTTTATTTACTGGAAAGATCTGAAAGAATTTTCTTTGCAGACAAAACTACTAATTTTGTCATTCTTTAGGGATATCTATTACTATGATATCTTGGTCTTTTAAACATTGCTTTATCTCTCTTCCATCCCCATGAGTTTACAGAACAGTATTGTGACTTCAGATAGGAAAGAGAGAGAATGGTGGAAAGTATCTGTTTAATTTTAAGCAGGAGCTTAGTGTCAGGTATCTTTCAGAGGATTTAGTGTAACGTAGGAATGCTTGTCTTTTGAATGCAACCTTTGTTGGTCCTCAACCAGTCTCGCTCAGGAAAAAAATCACTTTAGCATCTTAGTAGTAGGACTTTGTTTCTTGGTAGAATGGTTTTTATCTTTTTCCTTCTTACAGCCCCCTCAGCTGTTCACTGTATGCTTCCAACTTTTCCAGTATATTACATGAAGGCTGTGAAGAAACAAATCCATTGAGAATAAGGTGGAGGCCCTTAATAGGGGGAATGTAGTAAATGACCATATTATTAATGATCATATTATAATACATATGCACCAAGAGCGTGAGGTGAGTTAAGTTAATGTGCGCAGTTTTTGAGTGTTTAACTTTGCAGCAAGTTATACCTGCTAACATGGAGAGGGATGGGAGTATCTCTGGATATATGTATTTGTGCACACATTTATTTAAGGTGGAGCAAGGAATTTGAACAGAAGTTTGCATCAACCCAGATTAGTACTAGCCCTTAGTGCTAGGATTTTTCCTTAATAAATTTCATCCCACTTTCTCTTCTTTTCTGTTTTCCCTGGTGTCAAGTCATCTTGAATGTTAAGGGGGAAGAGGGGAAGAAAAGCTGTTTTCAGTTTTGTGGCTACTTTCCAACTGGAATAGCTAGGAGCAGTTACTAGAAGAAAAGTAGTCTTTTGACGTTGTAACTTTGAGTGAAGAGAGCATGCTTAGTACCACTGTGGGAAGGTTTCGTGTACACTCTGATCAACACAGCAAGCTCAAGGGGCTAGGGCTAGAGTACTACAGAAAGAACTGACTTTTCAGAGATTTTTAGCTCTAGCAAGTATACTAGGCAAATGCAGCCCTTGAAAAAATGTGACTTTTTTCTCCTTTTTTTTCTTTTACTCTGAGATTTCCCATTTAACCAAAGGCTTACAATTCAACCAAATATAACTGTATCTTTAGACAACTTCCAAAAATGATGTCCATCATGCAAAGAGTTGCCCACCTGTGAAGCCTCAGGTTACTTTGCCAAAATATGATTTTAAATGCTATGATTTCAAGCCTCTACCATAGCCAAACTTGTTCCTTCCCTCCCAGCCTTATTTTTAGAGAGAACTAAACCATTTCAACTGAAGCTCTAAAAAAAAAATATTGACAATTCAATGCACTGTCAAAAAAATTCAACACAAAAGACTAAAGCTTTGGCAAAGTTACAAGAAACTGAAAACTACTTTGATGGATCGTGGTAACCAACCATAAACATACATTTCCATTTACAGGGACATCATAAATCTTACTCATAATCTTATTTTTGTCTTTTTTTTAATATTTTGCTACTTTTCTTTTTTTCTTTCAGATGATATTAACTGTGTTTTTGAGCAACAATGAACAGATCTTGACAGAAGTTCCAATCACACCAGAAACAACCTGTCGCGATGTAGTAGAGTTCTGCAAAGAGCCCGGAGAAGGAAGCTGCCATCTGGCTGAAGTATGGCGTGGAAATGGTAAGTAAAATGTTCGGTGGAAATTGATTTAAATATATGTACCAATTATAAAAAAGGTAAGACTGACTTTTCAATATTAATAATTTCAAATTGTGCTTTTTTTTTTTTTCCTAGCAAACTTTGATGCAAAGCGTGGCAATTCAGTATCTGTAAAGATTAATACAATTCTTGGCTTTTTTTTTTCTTCTCTGTTTTCTTCCTCAGCATGGAGTATTTGATGAAATGCATGTCTAAGATATGTTAGTATTCTGCATTTCAGTTTTTCAAATTACATAAAGTATTCAGTACACCTATCTTAAAAAAAATAAGGGAGTGGTGGTATTTTCACTTCTAGAAGCCATTTATTTCAAATAGGCATACAGCATGTATAGGATAGAGGATATTTAAATGACAATATGGAATCTCAGTGATCTTCTCTTACAGTGCATGGGTGCAGATCACCACCTGCATTTTTTCCAAACCAATTTCCACACAATATATTAGGCATGTGAACACAACCCGAAATTTACAAATGGCTATAGGTTTTTTCCTTCTGCATCATGAATAGCAGATGTTCTGCAGACAAAATTGTGCCAGAACTGGACATAGTATCTCCAGCTTCTTCATGAACATTTCCCCTCAAAGATTTGAAAGCCTCCCTTGCGGCAGGTAGCAGTGCCTGTATCCTATTTGTGTTGCAGTTGTTATTTCACAGAATAATGGGGTGGGCAGTTCTTTTCAGGAGCGTGTCAAAACATCCCTATTCTGTTTCTAGATAGATTCTTGCAATTGGGTGTAGTGCAAGCCTCCAGGTTATCGTATATCAGTGTATGGGTGTGAGTAGAATTGGTGGGTGGATGAGGATAACAGGCAGGCAGGCTTTTATTCCTCAGTTACTAAGGTCACCCCTGTTTAAGCTTTTTGTCATCTGTTTCGTATAAAGACCGATGAGGTCGTAACTTGATATTGAATTCTTAAATTTTGCATAGAGGGGTTTTATTTTGGTCAAGGGTGTTTTGTCAAACAGACAAAACAGGCATTATTTAAAGGCCTTTGGAGCTTTTAAGTATTAGCTATCTAGAATATTTTCCTCCTGGGGAAACTATTCCTCCTCTTTTCTAAACTGTTCTGAGTCTTTGTAAAGGGAAAAGGTGCTTCAAGAAGTCATTTCCTAACTGGATGTGAACTCACAGAATTTAGGCAAGAGTGAGCAGGGGAGAGGTTAAACATGTCTGCAATTCTAGGAATACAAATTCAGTTCATAGTTAGAAAACTGTCTTTAAGGATAAAACTTACAGGAGGGTTAAAACTTTTTCCAATTGGAAGTTTAGATTACAGAGACTCTACAATGCCAAATGCATGGCATAAATTTCTAAAAATGGATTTGCAGACTGTGTTTAACAGCACTAGAATATCCCTAATATTTGTCAATCACTTGCCTCTGAAAGTGTAACATATGAGGTATCATTTGTTCTTCTGCTTTCAGAGTTCTTTGAGGGCGTACTTTAAAAATGCAGAGAATGATGTCAACTAGCTTCAAAGGGTGACTGGAAATTGTAGCCAGTGATCCTCAACATCTTTCTGGGACACTGACACCTTGCAACCCTGGCGAGTGCAAGCACACGTTTTCTATAATAACTTCTAAAATTGAGAAAATATTTTATTTGTGGATGTAATACATTCTTTCTCAGCGTTAGATATCTAAAGCTAAAAGTTTCTACAAAGTGGAAAATAAAACTTATCCAGGAAGTTGTGATGGAGAGACTAAGACTAAATTTTGGGTAGATACCCTGTGAATTATGTGTCTTTGGTCCCATTATAGTCAGTGGAGGTCTAGATATGACCATGAGTAGAACATGGAGATAGCTGATTTCAGCAAGTTATCATCTATTTGATGTTGAGCATCAGAGCTCACCTAGTTTGCTGAAGTAGACATCTACATACAGAAACCTACATCTAAACAGTTAAATGCAACAGTTAAGCAACAAACACCTTAAACTATGGTTCTGAGAGGGAAGTGTGAAGCAATTTGCAATGAAACTGCAGCATGTTGTGGCAGTGGAAGAGTATTTTTTTTCTCTTCTATTACACTGTCTCTGACCCCTGAGCCCTTGTCCTCAAGAGAGGTCTACAAATGTTCTTTCAGAAGACATTTTTGGAAAGTAAAATTCAAAACATAAGTTAATACAGAAAATCATGGGTTGAATAAACACATTAGGTTTTGTCACACACCATAATTGGTCTGTTTTCTTGGTAGTCTCTCCATGTTGCACAGGTGACAAATCACAGCTCTCTCCATAAGAGGATGAAAGTGAATGTGCTTAACTCCTCCATTCTACAGGTAGCCACAGCCTTTTAGGTAACCCAACTGAATAATACATGTCTACTCAAATTGAAAGCAATGGGGCTTGTAGATTGTAGTTTTATTATCAGATACAAAAAACCATTTGTGTGCCCAAAAACTTGTCCATTTTCTAAACTGTATTGATCTAATCAAATACTGTCTCTTCTAATAATCTTCCTCTGCTGTATGTGTATGTACAAATAAATGAGAAAGACCATTTGCCTTCCAGAAAAATGTTATTAAAATCTATGCAAGTTTGGGTCTAGCAATTACAGAAGATTTCTAGAGTTCAGAGGAGAATCACAATTGCTTAGCTGTTGGAAAACATATTTGTTTATTTATTATGTTAGCTTTTCTCTGTTTGCTTTTGTGTGGCAAAGAAATGGTTGAGAAGCTTCCCAAGAATTGCAAAATAGTTTAGCTGTTGTTTGTATTAGAGTTAGGAAACTGATTCTTCTTGGAGCTGCATGGCATAAGCATTTGGTTTATTTGCATTTGATTTTTGTATTTCATTCTCTGTTTCTCTTCCTTTCCAGTTTCTTGAAAGAGGTAATAGTTGAAAAAGTCAATAGCATTTTTGTCTGATGTATCAGTACGTTTTGCAGCACCTTGTGTTTTGTCAGTTTGAAGCTTCCTCTTTTTGCGCAGACTTCTCATGCTATAACAGGAGAAAAAAAAAACCAGAATATTCTTCCTCATTCCCCAGCTATTGCAAATAGCAGTTGGTAAGGAGGTCAAAAGACAGGTGTGATGCCACAAACTTGTAGTATGTTTCAAGAGAGAATGGATTTCAACCTTTAAATCTACCCAGTACTCAATTATTCACTTCATTTGCATCTGGAATGCCCTTCAGCAATTGGTATTAATTCCTGAATTTAGTGGTAACATAGAGGCAAGTGACTGTGAAAGAAATAGTTGTTTACTACAAGTCTACTTCTGCAAACCTGAGGGCGAAAAGACTTATTCATGATCTTGCAGTGAACTCCCCTGCTCTGGAGATAATCCATTACTTTGTATTCTGGCAAACATATTTATGTTTCTTACAAACAGCAGGATACTTATAATTAGGATAAAACCAGATTCTGAAGTCTGAAACTTATTTTAAGTAATGGATATATAATTCCAACTGAAAGATTTTTGCAATTCTCTTCTAAAACATTGATGCAATATCTGTGTTTTGGTCTTTCATGGTGTTTCAATTATTTCGGAATACTTAAGACTAGCCCATCATCAAAACTTTTGCTTAAAAAGAAAGGAGTCAAGCTCAGTTCTCAAAAGTCTTTCAGAATTTTCATCGAACTTAAAATCTAAGGTGGTTTTTGCAAATAATTATGGATATATGCGTATAGCACAGTCTTCTACTTAGTTATTCATGAAAACTAACATTCTTTAGATAATTTTTAATGTGTTGTTAAAGCATTGTTTATTATTACTCTACATGCATTCTCCTATTTCACCTTTTCTTTATTCTCTTCTATTTAAACTTTAAAAGAATAAATTTAAAGTTTGAAATGGTATTGTGAAAACAGTTATTGACAAATATGTCAGAAACTATAACAACTGGGAAAAGTGTAACTGCAGGTTTTTTTGTTTGTTTTGGTTTTGATTCTTAAAGAACAGATGTTTCCAGAAAATATTCCTTTGTATTATCCTAACTTACAGCAAATATAAGATCATGCTTTCTTCCTGCAATTTTTCTAGATTTAAAGGATTTAAACTGAGGGAAGGAATGAGGACTTCAGTTCTCATCATGTCTTGTGTCAAGTACTAATGTTAATTTCTTCTTTCTCTTTTTTTTTCTGAATCTGTTTCATGTAGCGAAGTTGCACAGAATTATTAGTGCTTCTTCATTTTTCTTTTCTCTGTTTCAGTGGTGATAATGTTGCTGTTACTATTTTAACCTGCTTTCTGTCTAATTTAGGGCAACATATCCCAAATTGGTTTTGTGGAAGAATTGCAAAAGTAGAAAATGCCTTTCCCATTTCACTCTATGGTCATGTCTGAAAAATATTAGCCTTGATTCTTCAAGGCATATTATGTAAATGAAACCTTTTATTTTGAGTAGCTATTTTGAGTAGGATCAGGGCCTTACTTTAAATGGGAGACCAGCCTACCCAGGAGCAATGCTGTAGCTGCTCCTCACCATTCTAGAATTAGCCCAACCCTGTTCAGACATCCAGTTTCTTGGTACTTTGTTATCAAGCTTCAGTTCTTGCAAGGTTTACCTAGCAATTTTTCTGTTTGGGAAAAATTCCTAAAGATTCTTATCTTCTGTGTCCTAAAGTCTCTGAACTAACCATTTAAATATTTTTACACTCTGATCTTTAGAAGACTCATGCAGCAGTTTTAGTGGATATGCTTCAAAGCACTTGAAATCTTACCTTACTTTAGGAGTTGAAAAACCTGAAAATCGTGTTTTTAAAATCCCTTTTCAGGAACTGAGTTGTAATAAGCCACTGACCTTAATCTTGTGTGCATAAATACTATTGACAATGTTTCTTGGAGTCCAATTGAGTGAGGAACAAGAAAAAGAAAAAAAAAGCATCTTTTTTTTTTTTAAATCCAGGTGTTGTGATTTTTTAAAATTTTATTTATTTATTTTTAGGCAAGATAGGTAAGCAGTCAGCTGATGACCATAATTAGATTGTGGTTTAAATGACCCTTCCCCATTGAAAGCAGCTAGATTTAACTTGGTTAAACTATGTTAATCACCATACCTATTTGACATGACAGATTTTGACAAGACACTTTATTGTATTAAATGCATTGTGAATCAAGTGATGCAAATGTATTGTTCTTTAAATACAACAATTAAGTATCCCAAGAGTATCAATCCTTGTATACATTTATGTAGTTCCTAATCCATGTAAATTTAGGTAAACTTCATTATAAAAAGGTATATTTGTGATGTGGTTTTCCCAAGCTTTCCTCAAGATATCTGTTATATCTTTGAATCATTTTGTCTTCTCATGTCAAAGGGGTTAAATATAAAATGGATAACAAATTGGTAGTGGTGCTCTGCCTGGTAGGAGATAGTGTGGTTCGGGTTTTGGAGGCAGAGAGAGCATTTTGCTTTTAGCAATGAAGAATGCAAACTCCACCTTTTGGTTTCCATCCTAGCCTGGTTTTCTGAAGTAATATTGGTTTCACTGATTAGTGCTGCATGTAGGAAAGCTAGTTAAATATCTTCTAGTATAATTTTATTCTGATTAGAAGATGTCTTCTAATACTATGTTTAATATTAGATCTTAAAAGGGAGATTTTCTTACCGTAATGAAAACATTTAAAAGTAAATGCAAGTATAATTATGAAAACAATGAAAACTTTACTTTTAAAATGTATTTTTATTTTGAAATACTATAAATATAGTGCGCAGCCTCGCAGTAATAATATGTTTGATCAGTTTCAAGAAATAACTACACTATGAGAATGTTTTATGTTTCTTTGGGGGAAAACAAAGAGACTGCTGCATAGAACTTAGCCTTTATTTGTTCAAAGATTTGCCATTAATTCTACATATACTAGAAGTTAATGTCTGGCATAGTGTATTGGAGTGGGAACACCTGCTCAAGTTTAGGAGAAGAAATGTCAATATAATGATAAGACTTTTAGTCTTATCTGGATGTTCAAATTCAATGAATCATTTTAATAACAGAACAAAATATCCATCTGGTGGCGATGGTGAGCAAAGGTGCAAAGATCAGTGTTGTGAAAAAGGTTGTGATGAAGAATTCCTAAATTGGGGTTTCTAAACACTGCTATTTTTTGTATGGTTTTGCAAACTGGTTATGTACTGTTGTTAAGCTTTGAGCTATGTTACAGTAACAGGCTATCTTTTAATACAGTGCAAGTATTGTCAGTGCCTGTTTCTTTGACTTTGCATAAAAACCCTTTGATAGATTGAATTGCTACCAAAAAAGACATTGTGATTCTTAATGAGAGTTCTATAAAACTTTGCTTAATTTAAAATAGTTGTGATAAGTTTTTTGGTCTTGTACTTTTAGAGCGTCCCATACCCTTTGATCACATGATGTATGACCACCTACAGAAATGGGGTCCCCGCAGGGAAGAGGTGAAATTTTTTCTTCGTCATGAGGAGTCACCAGTCGAAAGTAATGAACAGAGTAAGTACATTTATCCTGTAGTGTTGTTACCTAAACGTATTTAAAAAATTTCTGAAGTGAGTTTGACTATCAATTCTTTCAGTGGATTTCAGTAGATATATGTAATACAACCCCCTTACACCAAACCCTTTTTGAACCATCCTCAGTGACACATTTGTTCATGTTCTCAAATTCCATTCTCTCTAATAATTTCTACCAGTCTGTTGAATAATATTTTTGTAGTAAGATTGGTTTCTATTTTGCTTAATACTAATCCAAAAATGTTGGTGGGTATTAGAGGCTTAATGCATTTTTTTTTCTTGTTGAGAGAAAGTCCCTACATTTTGAGAGGGTAGGGTTGTTCTTTTTGACCTCCTGGTCTCTTTCATTTGCCCCAAAGAAAATACTCAGTAAACTACTTTGCCTCCTTTAGAAACTAAAATCTATTTTACAGACATCATTGGCAGAGGTTTTAGCGGCTTTACTTTCTCAGTACTTCATGTAGATATATTTAATAGTGGTGATAATTCGCACCTTGAAAAGTTGTTGGGCTGTTTGGTTTTACAGAAGTGTTTGTCTAAAACAGTGCCATATTAAGTGGGGCTTTCTTAAAAGACTGGAAGAAAAAGATAGAAGGATTTCAGTTTTCTGATCTAACTAGTATAGACTGTGCTTTACTGATGAGAAGACTTTGGAGGCTGTGCATTATATACTTCATGGCTGTCAGACTGTCTAAAGGATAGGAAAGGTATCTCAAAGTGAGATATATGTTTGCATGCTCACATTATCCCTACTCATTCAACTAATCTGACTACTTCTGACAACCTAATTTCAAGTCTTGGCTGAGTCCTTACTGCTTTGAGATGGGGTTTCTTCTCATATTTCTAAGTGGTTCCTGGTTGCTTTGAATTCCAGAAGTAGCAGGCAAAATAATGTATGAGGGATTTTTGTATTAATTAGGTACTTTGTAAAATACTCAGTCATCCTTTGGGCAATACAAATTTAAAGTCTGTTAAGAAATTTAAGATACACCTGAAGCCACAGAGTTTCATGTACAAGTAAAATGCTGCTTCTGAACCATGTGTGCAAGGCTTTTTAATTAATCATTGACCTATGGATCAATTTGTAGATTAAAGTTGTTTATGAAGCATTGCAAAAGCTTTCTCTACTGTATTCATTTATTATGTATTCAACTGAAGCTACTGCTTCTTGTGGACAGAGAAATATGAAACTTCAGTACTCACGCTCAGTACATTCCCTTCCATGACATCATTGCCTAAACACAAATCAGAAAAGTAGAGCTGCATGTCTGTACTTTTAACAGAGGAAGTCTGTGTTTTATTTCTGCTGACTCCACTGCTTACAAAGGATAACCTAGTAAGAAGGAGTTGGGACTAGCAGAATAAAAATTCACAGGTAAAAGCTTTATATAAAAATTCTTGAACAGATTCAAGAGTGAAAACCACTTGTGTTGAAAACTGAACTTTGCATTAAGAGTGATACTTTACTTTTAGGTGGACGTCAAGCCCAAAATCAAAGAAATGGCATAAATATACCTGTGGAGAAACGTACAGAGAATGGGGTATGTAGTAAATCCTAAAGGTTTTGGATAAATTCCACTCAAATATTTGATGCTTTTAAAATTCCTGTTTTTCAAGATCTGCTATGGTGGGAACTGGTGGAAAACGTATAATCTTGTTCTGGTTTGATTTTGTTTGTTTTGTTATAAAGTGAATGGGAGAATATGGGGTTTTTTTCATGAACTGTAAATTTTCTTTCTAGAAGGAAACTCACTTCTGTGACATGAGAAGCCCCTGGCATCTTATGAATTACTGCATTTTCTAATCTGTCTTCCTCTATCTTATTTGTCATGTGTGAAGAAAAAACCAGCTACGTTATTCTTTCATACTAGTATTGCCTGTCCAGACGTCTTTTCTTGTTTGATTTATCTCACTGGTATTGATTCATGACATACCCCCATGTGTTAAAAACATAAGAATGTATCTGTGGATTGGGATGTTTTCAGATGCTGGTAGAAGAGGTTACATATCCCCTCAGAGACATCTCTCTATACTGGTTTTTTATGCACTTGGTTCATTTCTACGCCTCTTTTTTTTTTTCTTTTTCTCTTTTTTCTAAAATATTACTAGGTTTCTAATTTAAAATACATATTACTTAGCATAGGCAACCTGTTTGGTGGCATTCAGTGAATGCTCGAGCATTCTCTCTTTTACAAATAAAATGTAGTACATCTCTTTGAAAGTTACTGTGGCTTAAAAACCTTGTATTCCTGAGCTGAAACTCACTTCACTTTCTTCTCTTTCTTATCCTCAATACTAATGAAGACTCTACAGAGCATATTCTGCTCTCGTTAGCTCAGAGCCATTTTGCTGTCTTTACTGGGGTGCTATAGTTGACTTTTTAAAAACATTTTTAAATTTCAATAAAAATATTTGAGCTCACCAATTCGTAGTTTTATTGTCTCTATGAAGCACTGTCAATTTCTAAGTACCCATAGGGCCCTTTCCTAGGATAAAATAATGCTTAAAAAAGAGTTTAAAAGCAAAGAAATTGAGTTTTTCAAGAAAAAAAGAACTAAAATGTTGATTGTGCAGATTAAACAATTCTGTGCTTGCATATTGCCTGGTAATTGGCATCTGAAATTCACACGCACACACACTCTTAAAATGGTAGCAACAAAGTTGTTCGGTCAGTTTGCAGCTCTTAGCAGCTTGTTTTGTGTATGGCATGTGGGCCTAGTGGAAGGAATTTTTTTCCCTATTCAAAACAGTTAATCATGTATTGCTTTCTACGTTCCTTTTCTGTAGAGAACACTGGCTGATATCCTCTGCTGCACGGATCCGTTTATCCTGCTTCCATTGTCATATTGACAATGCAGTGAGATCATAGTGCTATAATGTGCTAGGGGAACGTAACTCTTTCATGACCTCCCCTGATCTATTCCTCCACGTGTGTTGTAGCACATATACTTCATTTGAGTCATACTATGTTTGGAAATTAGGACTGGCATGTGCAGTATGCCTTATAATCTTGCTTCTTGGCAGCGCTAAAGTTTATCATAGCATGGCTTTGTATTTAGTTCAATTTGCTGTTAATTTTTGTGGGTAAAGCTCAGACCTGGTAACTTCAATAACACTGCTACCTGTGTGCCATTCAGTATATATTAAAAAAACAAAACAAAATAACCCAAAAGTTTTGCCACAAAATTAAAATTGATTAGGGAACTGATCACTTTAAAATGGACTTTTGTCAGGTTTAGGAAATTATTAAAATACAAGAAAGACTAAAACCTGAAGGGCTTATATTAGTGTAAATTGTGGTGGGGTTTATGCCAAAAATGGTACAAATTAGGTTTTAAAAGTGTATAAAACCAAGATATTTTTTTTTCAGTTGCACCAAGTTTTAAATCAGAGGGGGAGGGGGAAAAAGAGGTGGCTTCAGGATCAAGGATTTAATCAGCTTACACTTACGTAATGCATTAGGCTTATTCATTGTTACTGGCATGCTGAATGTTAGACTGGCCCTAAAATCAATACAAACCAATGGAACACTGAAGACAGCTCAAATCTTACCAAATAGTCTTCATTCAGGTATATATTTGTGTACTGCTTTAATGATGAAATAATTGATTTTTACTTAATATCTGGAGAGAGCTGAAAGTGTGACGTGTAGAAAACTTTAGAATGAATGTTTACTTTAATGTTTGAATCAACAGTGTTAGAAAAAATGATGGGCAATCAGTCTGGAATTCAGTTTGGATAATTCTATTGGCATTTTGTCATAGGCAGTAGGATTTTTTGTTCTTTGAAACTTTATGTGCTTGATGAGCAATTGTTTAAATAATGGTTAGCTCAAAATCGCATTATATAAATGCTTAAATTTCATTAGATTATCTTCCAAATAAAGATTTAATGTTAAAAATAGAATCGACTACATCTATTCAAACAGTGAAACATGCATTGTTGTAAAAAGAATACTTATCTGTAAGTGCTCATTTGAGAGCTTTGCATTCTGCATAACAAAGTCTAAAGGAAAAACTGTGAGATTTTGTAAATTGACTGGTTTTCTTATTCCTGAGGTGACCTTTTGGGGTTTGCTTTTGTTTACAACTTTCCTTCTGGAATTGTGCTGTAGTCAGGGCCTGATCTCTTTCCACCACTACACAAAGGTATGTAGAGATAAGACTTACATAACTAAACATTTCCCTTTTGCAGGGAGGTTGGACAGTGTCTCAAGAGGGATTCTCATCTCTGGAAATAGTTGCCTCTTCCTTTCTTTTGCACATGTAACTGAGCCACTTTGATTTGAACACAAGTTGTAACAAGAGAAATTCTAATTAAATATTGGGAAAAATGTTTTCTCAATGAGAGTAACAGACATTGGAACAGGTTGCCCGGAGTCTGTGGAATTTCTGTCTAGCTGAATGAAGTCCTGAGCAATCTGAACTGTGCCTAGCAGGGATTATTGAACTGAGTGACTTCCAGAGGCTCCTTTCTGCCTAAATTATTCTTTGATTCTGTGATCAATGGCCATGAAACAGTGGTCATACAATTCTGGGTCTTGTTTGCTTCCAGATGTCCTAGCATGATCCAAGCTTCATTTCATCGAAGCAGCACTGGTCTGAAGAGAGTGAGACAGAGCAAATATAGTTGTAACCGCTGGGGGTCAGTGGTAGACAGGAGAGGGACTGGGGAGCCACCCGTTGTGGTGCAGCTACCGGGCAGTCAATAGGAAAAGTGGATCAGAGGTGTACTTAAAGGAAGTCCCAGTAAGAGAAGTGACTGAATGATGACAGTTGTTCAGATGCAAAGATAATCAGATAACTGAGAAATTTCTTGGAGATGAGAAAACAAGAAAGTAGATGCAGCTCAGGAGGAAAAAAGGATGGTGTACACGAACATGACGGAAGTAAAGCATATTAGACTGAATAGAAGTAGGTTAGTGTAATGAAAACTATCTGTATATGAAGACAATACTCGTTTGCTTTAGTTACTTGGTTTAAATTATTTTTCTACTTGGTAATTTACTTGAGGATAATAAAATGTCAGGTTGTGGTCTCTTATACCATTCTTTCTTTAACTTATTTTTGTTGTTTCTAATATTAAAATTGCTCCCCCAACTCGGAGAGATTGACATCAATAAGCTCTTTTCTTGATAGATATTAGCTGAAGCCTTTGCCAAGAAATACAAAATGGAGCCTCTCACTATGAAATTTGTGTTAGCTTTAGTATAAAAGAAACTCGCGTAGAGGAAGAAAACTGCACCATCATCCCAAACTGGAGAATCACACTCCTGTTAATTTTCTTAGTCTTGAAACTGCAACCAATAGATAAAATTGAGAATTAAAATTTTGCCCCGATTAGATAACAGAACCAAGCTCTTCTGTTAAAGTAACTCAAATCAGGCTTTTAGCAAAAATTTTGCAACAGGTAGTCCAACTTTTGGCATCAGGAGACCCTTATACTTTCATGCTGGGGGAATTGCTAAGGGAAGTTCAATTAACAGATAGGTTAAAACTTCTACATATAGGTACATGCAAAGCAGGTTTTAATAGTACTGATTTAACTTAGGAGAGCTTACAGTTGCTGACAGAGAGTAGATAGCCGTCTGATGCAGTCAGTTGCTGTATCCCATTCCATCGTGACAGTAGTAAAGCTACACTGCTTTTGAGTTCCTGTGGTATGCCTTGTCAAATTCTAGGCTTAGAGTTTAGATAGGTTTACATGTGGTGCCGAAATCCTTGAGTACAACTGTATGTTGTTCATTAGTTTTAATGATTTGATCCATACAAGTGTGACCAGATAAAAAGGTATTCAACATCTAATATACATTTTACTATATATCTGTTATGATATGACAAAATTTTTTAAATGTGTTCTAAAAAGTGTCTGATAAATAAGTTTCAAAGATGGCTGAATGGTGGGGGGTTACAAGTATACTTGCACAGGCAAAATACTTGAAGGTTTCCTTAGTCTGTCAGGCAAAGATATGAAAAAATCTAATTGTGAGGAGAAAGGCAAACCAGTTAAATTATTAACAGAAGTAGTAACCTCAGGAGAAGAGAAATGCATTATATGTACTTGCTTGAAGTTTCTCATTTGAAATGTTGAAGGACAAAGAGCTTATTCTGGAATAGAAGTTGTTCTTCAAACTTGAGCTGAAAATTCAATTTAATATAAGCTTGTAAGTATTAAGTACTTTCTGTTTGTAACATTTAACAATGTAATTGGAAGAGGCTGCCATTCACGTAAGAGAGGTTTTAATCAAACTTGTTTAAAATGAACAAATAACTATATCAGTCTTGGAAATCTAGATTCTTTCAGGGGTCTCAGCAAAGTCTAAACAAGTAATTCCATTAAAAGATGATAAAAAGAAAATTAGGCGTAAGGAATTCTAACGGTTTGCAGAGAGAAAAAAATTTGAGGACACTTTCTTGTAGGCTTCCTGGAACATTTTGACCACGTAAAAAACCTGTTTATTAAATCAGATCCAAATTTTCTCCTGCAACTTTCTCTGTTGCTTTTGTTAAGGAGACAAAAATGATTGTATCTGCCACTTGTA